AGGGGTAAATCCAAGCATAGTCCTGGGCGGAAGAGTTTGAACAAGTGGGCGGAGCCTGAATGAAAGTAAGCGCCTGCGCCCTAAACCCTAAACCCTAAACCCTAAACCCTAAACCCTAAACCCTAAACCCCAAACCCCAAACCCCAAACCCCAAACCCCAAACCCTGAACCCCAGACCCAACCAGCGCACCTCGGGGTTTCTAGTCCGCACGGGCTGCAGATAGGGAAAGCACGGGTCGACGAAAAAGACGCCATGGCGCGGCCGACCCGTAACCTTGCAACCTTGGGTTTAGGGTTTAGGGTTTAGGGTTTAGGGTTTAGGGTTTAGGGTTTTGAAACAGCAGCAGAAGTGAGCTTGGTTTGTCTGTGTTTGTGTGCTTGTTGCCTAGTGAAGCTTAGGTAAGGTGCTCCTGGACTTGGGCGGTGGGTGTTGCAGGGGTTTAGGGGCAATATGGGTGGTCTCAGCAGAGATACCAAGGCCCCAGAGATGTTCACGTTTTTGTTGTGGGGCCGAGTTCTCCCAAGCGAGGGGGGTGGACGGGGTTGGCAAGAGAGGAGATCGTTCTTGGTCTGCTTGTTCCAAACGCTTCTCGGCCGGGGGCCGAGGCGAATTGCGCATGTGATCCCCGTAGCATCCCTATCGAAGCTTAAGACAAACGATGCCAAATACCCGTCCTCATTGAACAGGCTCCTGCCATTGGAGCTTGTGTTGAGTTCGGGGTAGGGTCTATAGGGTTCTAGATCCCCAAACCCGAAACATTTCTCGGAGAATCCCGGGACAATCCCTGGCCTGCTTTCAAAATGTGCTGCAGTTGCAGTCTATGCTATCATTCCTTTGTTTTGTTTGCCGATAGCTGAGACTGCACTTCCCATCTTTGCAGTTTCCAGGAGGTCGCGCTGCCGGTGACTTCAATGGCCCCAGCATCTTTGCACGAGGTGGGGCTTTTTAATGTTTCGTTATGCTCTGGCTTTTGCAGTTGCAATACTCAGACTGTATACTTCATTGCGAAGTTACTAAAAGTACAGTGACCACTGACTTACCACCCCCGTAAACTTACTTACCACTTGCTTGAATTGCTGAATTACTTAATGCTGGACCGTCCGAAATCGCGAGCCTCAGGGAACTAATCTCATTTCAATTTCGGGAAGGGTTGTTGTGTTGAGGCTAACATAGCGAAGCTTAGCTAAGGCAACCACTGGATGGCTTCCCATGAGTACACGCACGCCCTTGGATGGCTACTGTGTACATGTTCGTTGTTCAACATACCTGTCCCCAAATACAAGCCCTAAACCCTCAAAAGCCTGAACCCTAAAGCCCTAAACCCTAAACCCTAAACCCGAAACCCGAAACCCTGAACCCTGAACCGTGAACCCTGAACCCTGAACCCTAAAGGTAGGTTTTCGTTCAAGGATTCACCTTTTGAGGGCCTCTTTTCCCCAAAGGTCCCATCTCTTAAAGGAAGCTGCAGCACAAACTCCGCATGGGTTTAGAGCTCCATAGGTTTTTTAGAGTTTAGGGTGCAGGGTTTAGGGTTTAGGGTTTAGGGTTTAGGGTTTAGGGTTTAGGGTTTAGGGTTCCGGGGGCCTCATGGTACATGTGTCACCGAGTCGCGATGAGGAGCTCGAGGTGGACGGAGCGGCTTTCTGAGGCCGCAGGCTCAAGTTCGCCATGCAAGTTGGCTCTGTTTCAGTGCCATACTGCTTGAGTTCCCTTGAGGGAGCTCTGTTCTATTTTTCCCCCCAACAGCTTGAGCTTTGGCGTCTTCAGCCCAATTTTAGCTTTCATACCCATAAAGGGTTCTGCAATGGGTTTTGGCGCGGGAGCAGGAATGGGTTCTGGAGGAGGGTCCGCAAGGAGTTCTGGAGCGTTCTGGAGGAAGGGTCTGGAGGGGGGTGGGTTCGGAAGTTGGGGCGGGTTTCCGGCGTTCCAGATTAAGGTCAAAAGCGCGTTCCTGAGCAGGGTTCAGAGGAACATCTTCAGGCGCAACCGGAACATCCTGACATTGCAGGAATCGGCTCCGTGATGAAGATCACTACTGAGTCACTACTGGCGCTGGCAGAGCCCAGCATACATCGCGTCCCTTCATGACCAATGTTTGCATGATGCATGCATCCATTGGCCAGTCCACATATCTGAGGCTGCTTCCAGCATCACATTCTGCCCAACCATCTGCTGGTGACGTGCAAAGTCTCCAACTGACAGCTGAACTCCACTCGCATCAGAGACCAGGAGCCCAATACCCCCGGCCACATATATCCACATGAAGGAAAAGGGAAACAAAGCCACACAAAAGGAGACAAGGAGCCTAAGAATCCAGCGAAGGCCAGCCGCATGAACGGAGACCAGGAACCCGGCAATGGCCACCCGCATGAAGGGATACGAAGGGACAAGGCGAAGCAAGGAGACCAGGAAGCCGGCCATGGCCACCAAGAATCTGGCAATGGTCACAAAGAGGCCACCCGCGTGAAGGGAGACAAAGGGAGACAAAGAAGCGAGGGGCCCAGGAAGTGGGCAATGGCCGCCCACATGAAAGGAGACAAAGGAAGGGAGACAAAGGAGTTAGGAACCCGGCAAAGGCCACCTGCGTGAAGGGAGACAAAGAGAGACAAAAGGAGACAAGGAAACCAGGCACCCGGCCATGGCCGCCAGGAAACGGGCGGTGGCACGATGGCCGGACGAAGGTCTGCTGCGGCAAGCTTCTTGATGCCCCCAGCTTGAACTTTGGGGTTCTCGGAGCGCCCGAGCGGCTTCTTCGTAAGCGGGTTCCGGAGGAAGGGTTCCGGAGCGAGCGCTCAAGGAGCGAGCGCGTGCCTCTTCAAGCGGGAAGCTTGAAAGAAAACACTGTCGGCTGTATGGGGCGCAGCGTGCCGGATTCAAGGCCACCACGCGCTTCAAGAACCCATGAAAAACGCGTTCTGCTGCTGTTGGGGATACCTGCTGGGATGATGTTTAATTAGGGTTTAGGGTTTAGGGTGTAGGGTTTCGGGTTTAGGGTTTAGGGCTTAGAACCCAAAGGAATATCACGAACTATAGTTCCCTTGCTATTCAGTTCATGTGTTTGTGGGTCTGTTCCTTTCTCTTGTCAGCATCCCAGGCAAGCGGCTACCCGAGCAAAGGCAGCTTCTCCAACTTTGTATCGCTCCTTGACTCAGAACTTCGGGTCCCTTTTTGGGTACCTTGTTTAGAAGCTGCCGCACTACAGAGGGACCCCGGAATGGAACCAAATTTCAAGAACAAACTACTCAGGGCTCAGGACTTTAGGGGTCTTGGGAGAAGATTGGTCAGTATGATACAGTATGTTGCACTGAAGACCTCTAAACCCTAAACCCTACACCCCAGTACGGCCTGAGAAGCCCCTTCAGTCATGGGACAACTCTACAGCCTAAACCCCCCCTAAACCCTAAACTCAAGCTTTTGACCCCTCTCTTGAGGACCAGTCCCCTAGGAATGGTCGGAATGCCCCGAAACCCCAGGCCAGGGGCCTCCGCAGCGTCTCCCGCATGGGGGTCACCCCCCTCTTTGCGACCTGAAATGCTGTAAGACCTGCTTGAAAATGTACCTGAAACCAGAGCCTGCTGGGACCCCCGACCACTTTCTGGGACACAAGACTCCCTCGAACCCCCCGGACACTGGAACGGAAGAAGTTTTTGGAAGTGGGCGGTTGGCTTCAGTGTTGGCCTAAACCCCACAGAGAATAGGTTTGGGTGCGCCATTTCAAAGCAAACCCTAACCCTAAACCCTGAACTCTCCCAAAACCCTAGAAGTCTCAGACCCTCTGCCTCAGTCCCATAACTCCCCTGTTGCCCTTTGTGGGTTCGAGATTCCCTTACAGTAACCAGCCCCCCCAAAGGTTACGAAACCCGAAGTAATCATAAACCCTAAACCAAGCTAGGCGGACGGCTAAAAACCCCTAAACCCTAAATCCTAACCCTAAACCCCTTAAACCCTACCGACCAAGGAATGAGTACCAAGGCATGAACGTTCTCGAAGTGCAACCGGCGGCTTCGGGCAAGAGCAACTGGGGCTTTAGGGTTTTTAACGGTTTAGGGTTTAGGGTTTTTGGTTTAGAGCTAGTGTTTAAGGGCTTTGGGGTTCTTAAGGTTGAGGGGCTTTCCTGTTTTTTGGGTTCATCCCTTAAATGCGTTGAGGATCCTATTGCAACTAAGGAGCATTCCTCAAAGCTACATCCAAACCCCAAAGTCTAAAACGAGCCCACGCCCCCGCAGGCTGTGCGGGCGAGGCTTGCCGAGCGCCAGCGAGCGCTTGTCTCACTCGCAACCCGAACCGCTCGCTGTGGATGCCTGTACGCATGCTGTATACGCCCTATAACCTCCAAGGAAAGGCTCTGGAGGCTCCCACCCCTACCTCCACGGAAATGCTCTGGAGGCTCCCACCTCTGCATGCCCCAAACACGGTCTTCTCAGTACTGGTCCCTTACAGTAAAGTAAGTACTCAAGTCATGACCTGTAAAAGGCGCTGACCTTTCAGGGAGGGGTAGCCCCATGGCCCTGCTGGCCCCCGCCCTATCTCTACCTGGCCGACTCGTTGTCTGGCTTCCTGGCCTGCCCCCTCCGGCCCGGCCCCCTGGCTCTGGCCCTTGTGGCCTTGGACTCCTGAATCTTCTTGAAACTGTCTGGGACCCCCCGACCCCCCTAGCATTCCTTTGACTCTCGGACCCAACCCCGAATTCATGAAACTGAATAAGTTTTTAGAAATGGACTGTTGCCTTGAGTTTAGGCCTAAACCCTTAAAGGAAGAGGTTTGGGTGGCTTAGCCGTCTCGGACGGCGTGGGGTGGGAGAAAAGTGTTAGATGACCCTCCACAATCGGGCCAAAGCTGCTCTTCGCACCTCACGAAGCTTTCGAGCTTGTTCCGAAATCTAACCTTCACAGCACCTACGCCCAAAAACCCTGAATCCTAAACCCTAAACCCTAAACCCCAAACCCCAAACCCCAAACCCCAAACCCCACCCTGGGTATTCCAGGCAACCAGCTGGGGGATGCCGGCGCCTCCGACAAATGGCTGCAGAATGAAATCAAGGACTCGGAGTCCTAAGCTTTGAGCCCTAAACCCTAAACCCTAAACCCTAAAACCTAAACCCTAACCCCCAAGCACCCTGAGTCCTAAGATACTTAGGGCCTTTGAAAGACTACGTAGCTGCAGGGGCAGAGTGATCTGGTGAACCTTCCAAGATGCCCTACCTTGATCAAAGTTTAGGGCGTGCGGTTTAGGGTTTCGTGTTGCATTTTGCTCCAGGAGCTGTGCGACAGGGTTCGGACGAATGGAAAGTTGGCAGATAAGCTCAAGGCCTCGTGCGACAAGAGGTTTTCTGGACTGACAGATCGGAAGACCGACACTGTGGTAATCGTCTCCGATGGCGAGGTCGAGACTGCCACTGCTGCAGACGATGTCTTCGCCAACTACGTATTCGACAGTGACGCGGGGGTGAAAAGTGTGTCTGTTATCAAGCCAAGAGGCAGAGCCGTTAGCCCCCCTGAGGGGATGAAACCCTTCAGTAGCAACCCCTTCAATGGCGGCTATGTGGTCGGGGAGAACGGGGTGCCGCCTGACTATTCTGTGAATCTTGAGAGGGCAGCATCTTCATGGTACAAGGTACCGAACAATCGAGGATTGCTACAGAGTCAAGGAATTAGCAACAGGGAAAGCATGGACTGGATGAGAAAGCTTGTGATGAACGAGGTGGAGAGGCCAGATCACTCAGTCAGCACATATGCAAAGGTCATTAAAGAGTCCCTGGAGACGAAATGGGGAGGACCGTTTCAGGTCGCGGTGGCAGAAAGCCCCTTCACATCACCTTCACTTGGTTCGGCCAGCATCTATGCAGAGTTTGAGGTGGGGGATCTTTTTGTGCACATCATCGCGTGAGAAGAGGAGAGACCGTGGGTGTTCCCAAAAAGGACTCCGCACTTGACGGGTTATGGTACTTACAGCCAGAAGAAGCCTAGGTAAGGGTGGAGCCATAGTTCTCCTACGTATAGCCCTTATAAGTGCCCATGCACCTCCTAGTAGATGTCACGATTGCCATTTGCAGCCCTTTCATTTCTGTAGTGGACACCTGGCTATAGCGCCACTCTAAGCGAATAAGTACATGTGCGTGTTTGAAGCGTGCTTACTCGTACCCTATGCCTGGTGTACTTGGATGGGCAGGGTTTTGTTGGGATTAGCAGGGTGTAGAATCTAGGGCTTACCTACGGAATCCAAAACCTGCTTTACAGCAGGTAGAGATCCAAGAGCCGGGGTGTTAGTCGATGTTTGCTAAACACCTGGTTTTGGGCCACAAAACCAGGTTTCCGATTTTGCAGCCCACCCACAACCCGTAAAAACCTGTGTGAAACCCGTAAAAACCCGTGTGAAACCCGCAAAAGCCTGTGGTGGCAAGCCAGGTTTCTCCTTGCCTTCTGCAAGTTTCTCTTAGAAAGTCGGGTTTTTAAGCACAACCTGCATTAAGCAGGTTTTGGTTGCTGTAGGTAGGGCTTAGGGTCTAGTGAAACCCCAAGTCCTAAACTGGCCCTAGCAATGAACTCGTCTTGGTTCGTCTGTAGCTGCCCCTGCGCAGTGATGCGAACCAATCCAATCAGACATCTGTTCTCACATAACAAGTTCTGGAATCGTTTGTTCTTTTGCTTTCTTTATATGATCCTGTTTGCGTTCCTGGAGGTTCCCGGTTTAACTGGGGATGGCACTTGGTTTTTGCTGCATGGTTGGGAGTCTCTGGGTTGCGAATGGGGTTGTCGTTTCAATAATCGCCAGAGTAGAACACTCTGCACGAAGCAGTTGGTTTCACCCGCAAACCCTATAAACCCTAAACCCCATGCTTGACATAGCGCCGCCCCGCATACATTGTTGGGTCGTGCCTGTAGAATCCGCTCCGAGCCTCGATCATGCCGCATGAACTTCGATCCAGCCTGGAGAGGGGTTGAGGGTTGAGGGCTTAGGGTTTCGGGTTTGGGGTTTGAGGTTTGAGGTTTGGGGTTTGGGGTTTGGGGTTTGGGGTTTTGGGTTTGGGGTTTAGGGTTTAGGGTTTAGGGTTTAGGGTTTAGGGTGGTGGGGGCTCTAAGGCTTGAACGTCTCATCGCATGTGGGGTATTGCTGAGCACTGTTGCCGTTCATCGGTTCCAACTGCATAGGAACAACTTCCTCCCGCTTACCATGCATTTGCAGCTCTTGAGGCTAGGGACCCGCTGCCTATTCATTGCGTTAGCCATTTCGGGGGGATATCTGCATGTCCATAGTTCATGTCTCGAAGTCTTTGCAACATGGCTTCTAAATTCCATAAACCCTCTAAATGTCCTAGACGTAGAAGCCCTTAACCCTATAAACCCAACAAACCCTACCTTCAAAAAGCGTGGGAGAATGGATGGTCTGGCAAGCTTCCGGGCGCCGCCACGGCCTTCGCTTTAGCAAGGAGTGTGTGGCGGGCTTTGGGTCGGGCGCTGGATTTTGGGTCTTGGATGCTGGGTTTTGGGTTTTGGATGCCAACGAAGAGGTTTCGACATTTAGGGTTTTGGGGATTTCGGCTTGGACTTGGCTTGGGGGCGGGGAGGGTGGGGGGGGGGAAAGGGCACTTCATCATGCTCTGGCTGTAGAAGTCGGATCACGCCAGCCATCTCTCTGTGTCAACGGGTCAGGGCATGAGCACTCTTGCATGTGATGTACAAGCCGGCGTGCCTCAGAAAGGCGGCAAAATACGGCAGCCCTACTTATACAGCTCATCCCTTTCTCCCGTTTATAGGGTTCCAGGATTTCAAGATGTCTAGGGGCCTGTTCAAGGGTGCCAGGGTGCCGTGCCCGGGCGGGGCGGGGGGTCACCATCTGAAGTTTTTGGGGAGTTGAGGGCTTTATCGGGTCTTGGGAGTTTGAAGGCCTAGGCTTAGGTCTTATCTTGGCCCGGTGCCTTCTGTACCAGGGCCCTTTCTTTTCCCAAAAATAGTAATGTATTACGAAATCTTCATTGAGAGACTAAAACGATAATCCTCTATGAACAAGATCATGGATACCGATTATATTGAAGATAAGAGAATATAAATTTCGCGCATTCATTAAGGAATATAAAATAAACATATTTAATTATCGATTTTCTAAATCCTGAATATTAAATCTATGAATTGGTAACGACCCAAGAATACTTACAATCTTTGAAAACCACTTGATTTATATATTGGACGAACTAAAATGAAGAGAGACCTTATATTCTTGGTAATTTGAAGATGTTTGATGATTATTTTTGGGTATAGAAATTTTTTGTACTAAACAAATTGAAGATTCTCGGGTTGGATAATAGATTTCATAGATTTTGAAATCTTCGTTTTTTTCGATTTCAAGAATTAGGAATTAGTTTCATCTGAATTAAGGGCAAGATCTGATTGATATTTTTGGATATATATATGTATATATATATATATCATTTATATCATATATATATCTCATTTATATTATAGGCTCCCAAGATTTATTCGATTAAGGATTTATGGATTTATCGCTAAGACATATATTTTTATTTAAGTTCTATTGGATTTGATATTTTCATCGATTGGAATTTTAGAATTAAATCTCTACCCAATCTTAAAGAAATGAGGAAGGGAGGAATATTGATTAGAATGGAGGGAGGGGGAGGGGGGATAATAGAGATATGGAGATTATTTGGGAGAATTCTCAATTCTCGCCACTAAACTATATAGAAAGAATATCGAATTAATTCTGGCATTATTTACACATAAACATTATAAACCATTTTTGCATCCGGAAATATCAAAAAAAATTTCAGAGATTCCAAAAGAAATTAATCTAATTAAATATATCTTTCTTACATATCAAATTATCATGAAATAAAATCATGATAAATTCTTAATCATCATCCCCAGGAGAAATATTAAATTCATTTTATAGATATCTAATTGCGAATATTATGATTTCTACATTAATTGAATTTAAAGAATGGAAATGGGGGATGTGGATCTATCTGAAAAGATAAATGATATCCGAAAAATAATCGGAAAGAATTATGGATATTTCAATTCTCGCTTTTTGGAAATTCTCTGGGGGAGGAATAATATATTTATGATTAATTTTTTTAAATTTCGATCCTTCTTTTTTTCATAAATTCTTCATATTATATTATGAATATAATCTAAACCTTCTATTTTATCGAAGAAATTTTGGATTTCGAATCATGATGAATTATGAATTTTTGGGATTAGATATCTCTTATATCTTTCTATGATCAATTATGAAATTGGATTATCGTCTTTATTAAATATAATCCCAACTCATGATTATATAAAATAATCTAGATATATTATTGGCATTTTCGATTCTGAACTTGATGATTGGAAATTTATCTAGGTGAGATTCCGAGGATTATTGAGGATGGAAATTAGAATGGAATATAGGGGATCATATACGCCCTTCGGGAGAAAGAGATTATTTTCTTATATATAATATTTTCTTATTCCTCTTGCAAATGGGATGTTTCTCTTAATTTCCATATCAGCCTCAGAAAAAGATAGGGGATCATTTGATAGATTGCAATTTATTCTATCTTCATTGATATCCAAACCTTGGAGGAAATTTCGATGGATCGATATATCATGATGAATATTTATAAGGAATTGATGATTTTTCTGAAAATTTTGCGGGGAATCGAAAAAGGAGATTTGAAATTATTGAATTTATTAGAAAGCAAAATTCTTCACGATTGAAGAAACGAATAGATGATTCTCGAAGGAATTATTTGATTAGATTTAATGACGATTATAAAAGGGACTAGAGGGGACCCGTCGATTCCATCGACGGCATATCCGCCTACTAAATAGAAATAGATATACGTTAAAACTCTCTCTCTCTCTCTCGGTCGCTGCAGAGGTAACTCCACATAGCGGCGCTGTGAGACATACAGTCTGGCACTGTGACCAAACCGGCTCATCGTGTGAGCAATTGGTGAAGGTTCCACATGACCGGCCCGAAAGGCCCAAGCATCATGTGGGGAGGCCTCATGTCTATATGAACACAAAACGGAACTACAAAAGAAGCAAAACGAGAATGCCGCATATCAACGGTGAACCATATGTACAAAACGAAGCAAGGAAAAAGACATAGTGATAGTGAGCCGCACTTGCACATGGGGCATCAGGGGCATGCCAGTACCCATGAGAGCATAGGCACCAGTCAGAGCCGTAACGCGCAATCGAAGCACGTCCGTCACCCCACGCATCCCCTCGACGACCCCCACTCAGGCCTACCAATCCCAGGAGGGCGATAGACATGAGCTGCCGCGCACTCTCTGACTACTCTACAATGCCACTCAATGGTTCAGGGATTTGACGTGTCAAAAAGACAATGTAGCCTCGCTGGTCTACAAGTCCGCAAAACGATGCATGCTCCTCTTCAGTCCCAACCCTGACGAGCTGAGGTCTTGTATCGTCATCTTTAAGAGCCCAGCCGTGTCCTGTTCGCAACAAAGCACGATAGTGGCCTTCATGACAGGAGCGCCCATCATGTATGACTATGGAGCAAACCCGATACGCATGCCAATCAACGTGCAGAGATGTTGGAGTGGTGAAGACTGGCATGTAGACATCCTGCCTTGTCACTCGGTACGTACGACCATCCTTGTTCCAACCTGAGTCATGTCGCTTAAAGCGAGGGAGCGCCAACACATCAAAAGGAGCAGGCTCCTGGAGGGCATATATCTCTCGCTGTGAGTGCCAACATGCAATGAGCGATTGCAACGTGTTTTCGGGCGCATCAGGCGGTGTGTGCAAGCTGATGGGCACAAGGGCACAATATCCACCATCTGTGGTTCCCTCCACGCCGGCTTCAATTGTGCGAGCCTCCCACTTACCTGCCCAGTGCTGAATGCCGAGTTTATTATGTAGATACATGTAAAAGTCAGCAACGTCATGTTGTATGTGCGGCCTCAACCATCCCAGCATCACGAAAGCGAGAGACCTGTACAGAGAGATGGGCTGTTGGTGCGCACACCGAAACACATGGAGAAGCGGCTGAATGGCATGTTGCAGTTGGGGAGGCAGGAATGCAACTGGGCTGGAGCTCAGAGCCCACACACAGGCTGTGATGGAGGCATTTATGTAGCAGTGGTTACCGGGGTTCAGGAGTCGCGCCTGCAGTATGGTATGGACGAGGTCCACCGGTGCTGTCGTGGTAGAGCCGGGATGGGCCCCCGAGACAGGATCCCTTAGAGCAGATCTGTCTTTCTGAGCTACCGATCGCGAAGGCGGTTCAGGATCTTTTGCAGCTCCTGACAAGCAGGGCTCCGCTTCATGCCCTCCGGCCGAAGCTGTGCTCCGATGAGGGACAAAGCCGAATGTCCACAGAGCAGCCTGACGCAGTCGTAGAGCTCGTCCGCCTTGGCCCCCCGCAGTGAGACCTCGATGAGGAACACCGTGGTCGGCTTGGTCATGTTCTCCGTGATGGCCCGGGTTGCATGGCATCGAAGAAGTGTGACCGGCTCTTGGAAGCCGGCCTTCAACTTGGCCAGGAGCTCCACTGTCCGATCGAAGTCCATGGGAGTACGTTGCTCGTCCTTGACCAACCTCTGAAGTGCAGGGCTCCACTTCTCTATGATCCACTGGTTCTCGGCATTGAGGCGTCCTTGGTTCCTGACCGCAGTCATTGCCGCCGGCGTGTTCTGGAGTTCTGCGAGCCTGGCCTCCATCTCCATCACCCCCCCCCCCCCCCCCCCCCCCCCCCCCCCCCCCCCCCCCCCCCCCCTCCTCATCCTTACAATGCAGTCCATAACCAAGCACCTCAGAGGAAGCCGAACCTGGTCTGGGGTGGCCTCTCGCATCTCCTGCCACCTTTTCGTTACTTTGAGGAACGGGGCAATGATGCCCGGGGTCTGATTGGCCATGTGTAGGACAAAGGCCCGGTCTGACCGAGTGAGGTTGGAGTGGTCCTCTTGCCTGATCGCCATCTGGGCTACCAAGCGAACTGCCGTCTCCAGGTCCGCGTTGGTTTGCCTCTTGGCCGGCCGCTGTGTCCTGGTGCCTCGACTGGGTGGCGTTGCCGTAGATGCCGTACCGGTAGAGCGCGTTGACCGCGGCGACTGACTTTTCCTCCTTTTGTTGGGCGGGGTGGTAAGGAGTGGTGCTTCTGCCGTCTCCTGCATCCCCTCTAACTCCTCCTTGTTCCGTGCTGTGGCCACGCTGGGGAGCAAGTCCCAGAAGGCCTGTGCCTCTGCTGCTGCCGTCATCATGCGCTAGCGCAAGGGGTCTACGACTGTGAGCAGTCAGTGAAAGAGGAGCTTGGGCACTGCCGGGCCGCAGCAGAAGTTGCAACATGCATGCTTGAAAAGCAGCTGTACACTGCCTGTTATGTCCCTTTGAAGCGACAGGACACAGACAAGCCCAGCACGGTTGGCCTTTAGATGGCATGGAAAGAGCTAGACATCGAGCGCCCAGCCGCACAGCTGCACAGTGATGATCCTGCCACTCCTGCGCGTGTATGCGCTTCCAGTGTGTTTTTACGGCACGATAGTCAGCAATCCATTGGTTACACAGAGCACACCTTTGCATTAGGCGCCTGCGGAAGGAGCGTACTGTGCAGATGATGGTCCAGGCATCTGCGAAGGAAGATGATGATAGCAGGGCTCTGACATCTTGGTCCTGAAAAAGGGACCCATTGACCAAACTACAAGTTGCATCTGTCCTGACAGCCTGGCGGTCTGTGCTCTGAAGCTGAAAACGGGCCTCAGCCATTTCTCGGAGGCCTGGGCAGGCATGCTCGGCCACGTGTTGCTTGAACGGTCCCCAATGCGAAAACGACTTGCTGCAGAACCGGCATTGCGGCAGGCCTGCAACAGCGCAGGAGTGCGCATCAAGAGCAGCGCGGCCTGGCACGGCGTCTGGGTGCTTTTTGGCACGGTGTATGCGCATACCTCTGTCATCCAGAAAGTATAGGCCACACACAGGACACGCAACGCGAGTTAGTGCGGGTTCTGTTACCGGTATTACAGCTTGGGGAGAGCCATTGTTACACGTTAAGCCCTGGTAGTGGTCTGCTACAAGGTGCAGATGAGTCTCAACCCAGGTATCGGGGAAGGTTTTGGCAGTGGGCATGTGAGCCAAAGACCTGTAGCTGTCAAGAAGATTGTTACATCGTCGACTTAACAGGTAAAGGGGGTCCTTTAGGTCATGCTTCTGCAGCAGCGCCTCCGTGGAGACGCCAGTGAGGTGCACGGGACACCTGGTGATGGCTCGGACCTGTCTTACCATGGCCACTCTAAGCTCTTGTACTTCAGTCGGGGTCAAACAGCAGAGGTGCAAGCCAGTGAGAAAAACGGGCTGCAGGCATGCTCGCCAAAGCTGAACCTGTGACGCCTGGGTAAGGCAATGTTTCCCAGCAAGCAGCTTCCGCATCTGTGAGTATCGCGCTTTGGCCTGCGCAATGTTATGGCGCAGGGTGAGAGAGCCGAAATTACCATACGTCACTTCCATGCCCAGATACCTAAAAGACGTGCAAAGAGGGATAAGAAAGGGTTTAAAGCTTCCAAAACCCGGATGCGGTACGCGAAGGTGTGGCTTGTTCTGTATGATGGTGACATACTGCTTGCGTAGGGATCGCGCTTTGGGGCCGTGCATCAAGAGGAGGCACTTGGATTTGCCTGGGTTGACTTGGAGTCGCATTTCTGCAAGAAGGGCAAGAAAAGCACCCAGCTGAGTGACAGCGTGGTGCAGGTCTTTCTCAGCAGTCAGCATCCAAGACACATGGTTATCGTCTGCGAATAGCGTTATTCCTGCAGTTGTTGCAGCCGATAAGCATTCGCTTATTCGTCGATACAGATAGCAGGAGTAACATATCCAAAGCGTTGGTGCCAACGTGCACCCTTGCCTTATCCCGTTCGTAGTGCGGGTGCTAGCCTGCTCCGAGCCTTGAGTGAGGTTGTACTCGCAAGAAGCATGGAGGGCTAATATGACACTTACGATGTCCTCTGAGATCCCTGCATCTCGGAGCGCCATGCCGAGCATACTTCGGTCGGCTAAATCAAAGGCCTTGGATAAATCCAGACTAACTTGTAGTCCACCTACAATGTCATGTTCCCTGTCTGGCCTAACCCCTGAGTTGGAGAACACGGCATAAGGCGAAATCCATGGTTTGGTGGGCAATATACACGTACTGGGGGACGTCCGCAGCATACCTATCCACATACGGGAGGATTTTGTGTTTGAGAACACATGCCATGGTGCGTGCTTCCACTGGCAAGAGACAGATGGGCCTCAAAGACCCCGGCGTGGTGGGAGGCTTGCCAGGTTTGGGGAGCCAGACCAGGTGACCTGAGCACCAAGTGTCAGGCAGAATAGGCGGGTGCCCCCCTGGCAGTATTTGCTTGACACTGTCTGTTATCAACGGTGCAACAATATTGCCCGCAGCCTGCCACGCAGTCACAGAGGCATGTCCTGGGGGGACTGCCTTGCACGGGGTGAGATGATTTAGGGCACGAAGGTACTCGTCCTTGGTGCAGTGAAAGGCCTCACAAAGAGTGGAGAGGTCAGGCCGAGCGTCAGCCTGAGCAAAAGTGGCTTGGCTGTAGGCTTGAAGTTGTGCGAGTTGGGCCTTTGGGCTTATGAGATGCCCCTCTGTGTTGCGCAACTGAATGCGCTGGCGCGGTTGCTTGCGCGCTAGTTGCTTGACAACGCGAAAGAGCCCATGATGGTCACCCTTGTGCTGGGTCTGCGCCTGCTGGATATAGTGCTCGTAGCGTTGCTTGCGAGCTTGACGACTAGCCTTGCGGGAGGCCCGAACAAGTCGCTGTAGTTTGGCCGCGTTGAGCCATTCCTTAAGGACAGCATGCCCGCGCCGAATGGTGCGTGCTCGGAGCGCTTGTCTCGCCTGCCAAACAGTGTGTATGGCAGCTTTGACGTCCGGGTGGGACTCAGTAGGACGGGGTCTGACGCGAACCGGGGGAGGAAAGAACTTGAGGCTGGCTTGGTATATCAGAGTATCAAGCTGCTTTCTATCTGTGCCCGGAGACTGCTGGATACTCTGCGCGATGTAAGCTCTGTATTCCTGCATGATGGGTTGTTTCTGCTTGATGGCTGCGCGCATGTCGTGCTCATCACATTTGGGCGGGGGCAGGCTGTGAGCTGGAGCACGTGAGAAGGCAGGAAGGTAGAAAATCGAGGCTAGAACCGGCAAGTGACGTCCACCACCTCTCCAGGAGGCGACCTTGAAGGCCCGGAGGGGCGAGGCATGTTTGGCTGGGCCAGCTGCGTTAGAACTACGGGTGATGATGTAGTCTATCTGCGAGGCAGCATTTGGTGCTTTGAACGTGTACGGCGAGCCTGAGTAGGTATTTAGCGCGCACAATGAGAACTCTTGCAGGATCCGCATAAAGAGGGTACTGTCAGTCTCTGAACGTTTCTTCGTGGTGGGCACGGCTGTGCCGGTACAAGCTGTATTAGGCTCAAGGGTGGTATTGAAATCACCCATGAGAACCAACATATTGCGCTGAGGCACCGCCGCAACAGCACGCCGAAGTTCATCCCAGAAGAGGCGGCGTTGTTTCAGAGTTTCTTGGACATTCTGAGGTCGCCACACAGTTTGGTATCCGTGCAAGATGTCTATGACCGAGTTTCTGACAGGGACGCGCGCATGGTGGAGACGACCCGGCACCAGAGTGCGATATTGGATTTCGGCATCCTTGCACAGATGACTGTTGACCAGAAGGAGGAGGCCTGAGTTGCGGTCTGAGGCCGGCTCAGAAACAGCACGGTAGCCACTGATGGAAAACTCGGTTTCACCACCCGCCGGCCAATGCGTCTCTTGGACACTAACGACGTCTGGCTTAAGGTGCTGTGGCTGCTCTGACAACCACAGTTTGAGTTCATCAAAGACTTGGGTCTGGCAGCCGCCGGCATTCCACGTCATCAAGCGCAGGCGGCGACTGTTTCCTGACTTGGGTTGCTGTGGGCCGTGATCGGCACGCCGCTCAGGGCTCAAGGCAGAGCAAGGACGACCGAGGAGGGTCTGGGTAGTGTGCAAGATACCTATGTACTCGGTAATACCCTTGAGGGCAGCGCGACGAAGGGCACGCTTGAACGCCCGCTTCTGTATCCAGCCTGGGAAAGGTACAGCTGACGTGGTCTGAGGCGCATGGACAGCAGCTGTGGGATGGATCTGCGCCAGCAAGGCTAAGCCCCCTAGAGCAAGTGAGCAGATATGAGGCCGCGGCTGTGTTTGTGCTGGGGAAGACATGGGCCTGAAAGACGCGGACAGATCGTCCGGAAACACGTTAAGCGCATGGTCACAAAGCTTCACTCCTTGTTGTGGAGAGATGCAAATCGTTGCATGGTGAGTTCCTAGGTCCCCTGTGGGAGACCTAACCCTCGTGTCTGGGGAAGGGGTATCGTGTGAGGATTTATAAGCGTGGGAATCATCCCCCCCCCCCCGGAGTTGGGACCGGGGCAGCTACAGATCGCTCGGGGTCGGACAGTCGGCGCGGTGGGCCCGCAGAGACTGTACAAACATGAAAGGGTTCGGCAAGCAAGCGTCGGATAGACTACGCTGGTTTGAAGCCAAGGGTGGGCTGCAGGGGCAATGACAAGTGAGAAGCCATCTGGCCAAAACAACCTGCAAGAAAGAGACCCAGCTGTTTTCAGGTTCACATCATCAGGCCGTCTGTCTGGCGCGAGCGTCGCGCGCCTGAGGGCTTGAATACTTTCAGCTCGCAGTGAAGAAGACAGCTCATCTGCATCAAGCCAGCAGGGGGTCCACTGAGCTTTAAACATAACCTGAAGGCGCCAGCGGCCAACGCAGTTACGGGCAGGGCCTGAGCTCAGCTTAGATGCGCAAGGCCAGTGGTAGCTAGGCAGTGGCCTGGCTGATTTGTCGGTCCCGACAGGACCGGGGCAGCACGCGTGACCGCATTGCCGCCAGAGGAAACCCATGTTCAGCACGGTTTGCCCTGGCTGGTAAGGCAGCAGCCAGTTAAGCACGGTCCGAACCCAGCTGTACCGAGGCGTTAAGGATTCGACACAACGACGACAACGGCGGCCCCGGCAGGTGAGCCATCGGAACCTGGCCCAAGGGTGGCTACGACATGATTTGCCGGCACAAAGACTAGCAGGAATGTAGCAAGGGGTCGCAGAACATGCTCGCTGCTCACAGTTTCGCATGTGTAGTATGTACCTCTGCGTCGGCGCTGTTACGTGGTACTGCATACATTTACTGTGAGTGCATGAGCGGAGTGCTTCAGTTGCAGCACATACGGTGGCCTCCATGGCCCGCGGAGCTGCTGCGAGCGGTTTGGCAGCCAGTGGCCGACGCTGGGCCCGTGTCAGTTGCGCTGCATATGCAAGGCTGTACGCGAGCGACGGCCTCATCCCTTCAATGACCTCCACTACGCTGCTGGCGCAGGCAATCGCATCCATATGGCCCAGTACACTTCGCACACTGCTCAAAAGGGTAACGGTAGCTTTTTCACCTGTGGGTAGCGAAAACGGAACCCGAAAAAGTGTCCCATGTGCAACAGTCATACACACCGCGGTCAAGGTGAATACTTGTGACCTAACATGAGGCAATGCGGCACTCAGGACTGCATGAACGTTACTTGGGCTCTGTTTAAGGGGGTGAGTCCACGAGGCACCTGGCTTCGCATGACAGTGTTGCGGGGCCGTCCTGACATGTGGCACGATGTACACAGCGGGGGTGAAAAGGAGGGGTGACCCAAGAACCAACAGTCGACTAGGGGAACCCAAGCATGGCAGGTGACTACGAGGAGTACAACCGCAACGCTGCCTTGCTAAGGTGAGCGGCCTAGTGCCTCCTACAGGCGGAAAACATGTAGGCATCATCCGCGAGGGCCTGCGTTCGACCTCGGCGTCGCCATTGCAGCGCCGGCCCATAGAAGGCAGTAAGCCAACGCAAGTTGGCCAGCCTTTTGCCTGCCACTGCCTCCCGCAAGGATGCGGCCACATATCCAGCCAGCGCAGCGCCCGTTTTCCATACGTTCCGCAGATGGTCCCCGAGCAGCTGGAAAACAGCCAAGTCGCACATGAGAGGCAGGTCGGTGGTCTGTGCAACACCACACCATCAGAGCTTGAGTTCGGAAAGCGGCTGTCAGTACACGGCCAGCGCGACACCATGGTCCCTTGTTCACGACTCCAGCGCGGGGGCAGCCTGTGCAATGTATCTTCGACCCACACGTTGTGTGCCAGGCGGCGCTGACGTTGTCCGAACATGTAGTCCAGCGCGTCAGAAACACAGTCCATGAGGAAGAGCCTTGCGAACCCAAGCCTGGCATCGGCAGTTGCGAAAGCATGATCCACCATGTTGCGATCATCCAGCTCAGCATGCTCCAGATTGCGCCCATACTATGTGCCGAAGGTGCAGCGAAAAGGAGGTTACCCTTGCACACGGCAGCAAGGGGTCACCCCCATGGCGGCGGACGATCGGAGAAAACCAACCCCAAACAAGCACCCAAAGAAGCAGCACCCCCACGAACCCCGAAGCCAGAACCCAGCCAAGAAAACAGGGGCCCGAGCGATTCGAGCCGAGACACTTCGCTCCGGTCATTCTCAACATGCTGCAAAGCAAGATGTGGCCTGTACGGAGAAAACTGACACCAGACAGCTTTTTCAGCCGCCCATACGAAAACATGACTGCGCGAGTGTGAACCAAGAAGCCCAGATGAGCTTGCTGCAAAAGAGATGCCCTACAAGTGAGACTACCTGCCAGTACATATGCTGTGCTACGGCCCGCCCCGAGAGCCCACTTTCTTGTAACGAGGTCTTGAATGTTCTTCTGGCCAGTGCCGGTGAGACAGAGAACCCCAAAAATTGGGGTGGGTGGGTGAGGAAACTTGACTTTCTCGCTAGCAAGCACAACTCTAGAGCCAAAATGACGCACGAACATAGTTTATAAAACATACATGAACAAGTACATGATACGTTCTATAAACTAGTTGTGCTTGCTAGCGGTATAGCCGGAGGCTTCAAAAGGCTGCGAGCTTCGCTCCACGCTTTATTTTTCTCAGGAGTGCCGGAAATCCTCACCAACGTCCACTCGAGGAAACAGCAACGATGCACAAAACAGGTTGATGGGTGGGACCATGTTACCCCAAATTAAACTACCCAGCAACCTCGCACCGGAAAAAACCCCAAACCTAAGTGAGGTTGTTCGGCACTCCCCTGCTCCGCACAGACCATGGAAGGTGAGCCCCTTCGGGGAAGACAGAAATTTTTGGACGAGGCAACCAAAGGGCCTCGAGTGACAACCGCACTCTGTCCTTTTCAAGGCAGTCAGGGGGAACCTCATACTCAGCAGGACGAGACAAAGCATCAGCCTTGACATTGCGTTCCCCGGAAATGTGTGACACATCCAGCGTTGTTCTATGTACAGCTGCCAGCAAAGAGATCCTTTCCAGGAAAAAACAGAGGGGCCGAGAGGTGGAGAAAGAGGCATTCACCCCTGCTTCTGCACCTGTGTTGTCTGATGCGGAACGTAGCTGCAAAGGGATTCTGGCGCAAGGTAAAAGAGAAGATGTTGCCAAAATCAGCGCCCCCTGGGCGAGCGCTTCATAGCAAGCAATATCAAGCTGCATATCCGCTTGCACGGGAATCTCAAGGGCCCTAAAGGCACTGTAGGGAAAAGTTTCGCGAAACCAGCCCACCAATGCAGCACACCGAGCCGTGTGCACTTGCATCGGCTCGTGCCTCAAAGGATGCGTTGCCTTGAGGGCGCATGCTGCAAAATGGGCACACATGCAAAAGCCAGTGTTCAAACAAGCCTAAAATGCGTACTGATTCGGGGCTCAATTTGCGCTTTGAACTGGATTGACTTGACACACGCATCCAAACTCGCCTGTCTGTAATGCGCACTCGATCCAAGTCAGACAATGTTGATAGATCCTGATGACGGACTGACAAAAGTGTGCTGTGGAGCGGAATTGCTGTACCTGGAGGGACCGACTTGAATTGCAGGGAATCCGTCAAGTGGTGACGAAGCTGTGGCCAAACATCTGGGGCCACCGAGTAGTTGGTAGCGGCGGGGCTGAAAAGATCATGATAGAAGGTGTACAGAAGTGACTTCATTGTCGGGAAAAGGTGCGCCGCCCAAAGAGCCAGCCCGACAAACCTCTCCAAATCCTTACGTGAAATTTTTGGATTACGCTGAAGGTCTTGAACCATCCCCAAAAGTTTTAACCGTTTCTCCTCTGCAAGCGACACAACACCGGAGGTGTAGCAGAAACACCACCCTATCCAATGAACCCGAGAGCTGACTTGAAGTTTCTTCCAACTCAAGGGTACCCCCAGTACCTGGAGGAAGAGGCAGATCATCGCCCCTGTTGCTGGCAAGACGGCTTCCGCCTGAGAGAATAGGTAGTCGTCCACAAACAAGTGGCCTGCATGGCTGAACCAAATCAAGATGTGCAACAACCGAAGCAGGCAGGAACCTAAGCGCCCCCACCAATGCTGCGCAAAGACCGCCCCGAATGGGGCCACGCGATAGAAGTACAAAGAATCTGCAAAAGCGAAACCTAGGAGACCCTGCTCGGACTCCTTGACAACGCATCTTTTGTGAGCACTTTTGACATCAAGAGATATGGCAGCTTGCCGCGAGCGGGTGCCCCGAAGGGGGAAACAGTGCATCACGTCCCTAACTGATGGCATATGCTGGACTTCTGGAACGTTGCAGCTTGCATTCGTGCCACACACTGAATTATCTAAGACCAACCTTTCCGAACGATTTGGCGCACGGACCACGGAGAGCTTCCCTATTGCCAGTGTACCCGGCCATTTTGCCTTAGCTGCCTCAATGTCGCCATCAAACTTGAAACAGAAGCCCTGATCAAGTTCCTCCTGAAGCAAGGCTTGAGTCACGGACAAATCAACTGAGGCCGAGCGCCAATTCTGCATGTGGATGGAAAGTGATACATCCTCAAGGTTCTCTTTTTGATTCGGCCAAAAACAATTTGACACTGGGATATCGTTGTTGTACCCCGTGGGGACGCCTTGCAAAAGGGATTTGCAAAGACTCACATCCGGATCACCACAAAAACAGGCAAGTGCCTCAAGCGCATGCAGATGCAAGGGTTGATGCTCACGGACCTTCCATGTATTTGCATCTGTCGCCACACCTAAGCAGGAGAAGAAGTCTTTGCGCGCATCTTGCACCTCCGACGCGGTGAAAAGGGGTTCGGGATTAGGCCAAGTGGCTTTAGCAAGCAGGCGTTTGGGGCCCTGCATGTCACAAACTTTCCCCAAAAGGTATGTCCGAAGATTTTTAAGCTTGTCCTGGCACAATGGGGTACTCCAATCCCCACAAGAGTGGCGACCTGCCCCACCCACGGTCCAACATCCAGGGCCTTGACAGGTACTAAAGCCGACGCGGTGGCAATAGTGTGTTCAATCTGTGCACCTGCAAGAAGCGGCCTGATGTGCAACGCGAATTCTTCAGCCAGGCATTGAGGGTACTTAGCCGTCTTACGACTTTTGAACGAGCCATCACTCTCACGTCCCTGCACGGACTCATGTGCATTGCGTCCGTGTTGACACGTCTGGCCCATCACGGACAGGGCTTGAAAGCTCGATGCAAACAACCAAGTTTTTGCCCAGTTCTCCCCAAATGCACAGGCCGGGAGGACAATGAGGGCTGTGGACCCACAGTGCAACCAGCCTTGAACGCACGATTCATCCCAGGACATAGCACCTGAAGGTTGCTCCAAATGGCCATGGCCCCCGGCCCCATGGACTGCTTGAAGACATTTGCACGCCCTGAAAAGCATCTCGTGACTTGTTTGTATACGAGCCTGAGCTGATGGGGGTAGATTCTCCAGGCCCCCTAGCTGGGTTGGTGTGCGGATGGCAAAGGGCGGACCTCCAAAGAGTTTCAGGCGGGAGTATTCCGAGCAGCAAGGGGATGCCGCACAATACCCCACAACACCTGAGCCACAGATGAACAAGAGCTGCTCGAAAAAGGTATTATCGAGAATGTCCATGCTGCTATCCAACAGGAAATCAACTGCAAGTGTTGGGAAGCCTAACTCCTGCACCGCTGAAGATAGAGGCTTCTCCGCGCCCGAACAAATGTCCAGGAAGATTCTTGAAGACTGCTGCAGCGCTGATTGAACTATGGCAGGCGAGGATGGTGGTGGGCGAGGTATTTGGGGCTGCAAGATCAAGCTGTGGTGAGCAAACCCTTTTGGAGAAGGCTTTCCCCAATTAACCCCGGAGCTAGGAACTGCCTGCTGAGTAGGAGGGCAATGGGCGGGTGTGGGAACCGGTGCTGGGGGCACGGTTCGTGGCTGGGGCCAAGGGAACCCCAAATCCCTAAGTGGATCACCTGACACGCCTGGGAGGGTAAAGGCCGTCAGCACCCATCTATCGCCAAATGCCAAAGGTGCACGGGGAACTTAAATGGCGCGTGATGCGTTGTGACGATCTTGCCAGGGAGAGTCACCCCAAGCTTGGGGATGAACTGCGGCACAGTGCCTGCTTGATCCTCAACCCAAAGGCCTCCATCCGAGTACGAACCTATACCCACTGTCAAGTTTGATGACCCCGGCAAATTTGCTGTGTCCTTGTGCGGGGACGTCAAGATGTTCCTGCTGACACACAAGGCATTCCAAGTCTCACCTGGGAACAGTTGGCACAGGAAACCATTAAGGCTTGCACACAATTGTGGGAGTGCATCTGTAACTGATGAGTGGGCCGAAGGATTCCCTAGGCGCACCCCAAAGTTCCAGTATCCTGATTCCCCCGGAGCCGCTGAAGTAACGCTCCTGGCAGGAAGCACGCGTGGAGGCCAAGAGGCTGAAAGCAATGCCTGAAGACAGGACTTAAAGTCGTGTATGCATGAAGAACCTTCTTCTGCGACATGTGTAACACCCACCTGCCCGGGTGTTACCGCACCCCTGGAACGACCAGGTGTGTTGCACGTGACATCACCCAACACGGGTTGTGACGGGATGTTGCCCTGAGGACATTGCAGTGCTGGCGACGACACAGGCCCAGCGTTTGTCTCCAACAAGGAGACCGATTTCGGAATCACATTTACAGGCTCGGCTGGCCGAGCTGCCGGCTGGATATCATACCCAGCAACACGATTTGCACCTGCCTGGTGCTTTGCTGAAAGAGGCTGTTGAGGTGATACTGACATACAAGGCGACGAAGGGTGTGACTGAACTGGCTCAGTGTGAGCTTGCAAAAGATGCGGGGCATCTGGGGGTGATACCTCTGTAGACTGCGAATCTGAATTCGGGAATTTTTGCCACGGCACAAGGGTAGGTTCGAATCAGTGAGGCGTCTGCTCATGCTGAGAGGCTGTGTGCGACTTGCTCCCGCACGCTGATCCATCCTGCTTGGGGTATGCACATGCATGAACAAAGGGGCAGGAGCCTCCCCTTGTGCAGCGGCCAATCTGCCACTGGACACACAGCCCTTTCTTCTCAGATCCCACTTGGATCTCTTTCACGAAGGTGATGTGTCTCCCTGGAGCGCCCTTGGGCTTACCGCCCTTTTCCTTGCCCCGGCCCTTGCCTAGGCCTTTCCATTGACCAACCTGCTTGCCCTTGCCTTTGAGATCAGGGCCGCGGGGGATGAACAAGGCTTTCGGACGAGCCTGCAGCAAGGTGCTAAGCTCACCTCTGATTTCAGTGAACTCATGCAACGCGTCATTCAAGCTCCAAGCTTTCTCACTGACTAAAGAATGGATGCTCTGCCAAATCCGACAATCTGCCTGTTGCGCTTCTAGGATTGTCGGTGCACGCAGTCCTGATGCTGGGTCGAAACGCTGGGACACAAGCTGGACAAACTTGCAGCTATAGGCTTTGAGGCGGGCAAGGTGAGCTGAGCCAACCATGGCTAACGCAACGTCATGCACTGCCAAGATCCGCTGGATACCACTGATCCCCATATTGGCATCGGTCACTTCGATTGTAGGCGGATCATCAAGGAGCAAGCTGGAAAGACCCAGCATTTCGAGCTTGGGCTGTTTGTGGGGTCGGGCAATCAACAACTCCGAAGCTTTCTCTTCCGTCATGCGATGTTTCCAAGCTATCCATTTATACTCCGAACGTGCCTCTTGATGGGCTGCGAGGGAAATCAGCCTCAAAGAGGGTAGAGTAGATGGATTCAAGACCTCACTTGGGTAATTTGCAAGGAATTGGCGCTTCATGTCGGACAGCTTCGTGGATGCAATTTTGGGAGCAAAACTCTCTACCCATGTCTCCAAAGTAGGATCTGCGTTGACTGGGGCCGGTAGAGCACTAGAGGAACTGGATGCTTGCATGCCCGCCCACGCTGCTTTGATTTGGGCTATCTGCAACCGAGACAAAATCTGACCTGGGAAGATCTCGGGGAGGGCTCCCTCAACTTCTGCCTGGGTTTCAACGACGTGTTTGAAAGCCGAGGCTGTCCAGCCCCGTGGCCACTTTGATGACCTCTGCTGCCAAGCCTTCCTTCGCCAGTGCACTCTCCAACTCGGAGTCAGCCATGTCAAGCAAAGATAACGCAGGGCTAATGTTGGTGTTTAGCGCTAGAACAATACTTGATACCTAGATAGGATGATAGAGCTTTGTTCTCGTGAGCTAGATGATCATGCTAAGCAACAAATCTGAAATGTACGAAACTTCCAGGGCGTCGCCTGACCACCACGTGAAACCCTTGCAAGACGCAACGTCCCTAAAGATCTTTCCCTTGGGGATTTGCTAGCCCAATCGAGCGCCTGCCTGCAGAAACACCCAGAGCATGTCAAGATCATAGCAGCAATCTAACCCTTGGTGAACATGTGCAACATGACAGCCTGCTGTTTCACTGATGCATACGCAAAACAACAACCACACTTTTCTGACACGAACATTGAAGCTCACTCCTCGGAACAACAAGATAAAGCTGCCAAGCATGCACCGCGTCTGCACAACCGACACGAAGATGGCACTGACGTGTGGATCATGAGCCGATCGGCCGGAAGAGTGGCACCACACTTTGCACGCATATATGTGCCATTGACAAGTGTGCCTGACAAAGCATCTGAAGGGCAGAGCACATGCAACACCGCGGTGCAGGAGCCCAGCAAGAATTCATCGGGTTCACCTAGGTTGTGCTCTTCGGCCGGGGGTGCCGAAGGTTCCTCCTCGCTCTCATCTGAAGATCCTGGGTCAGAGTGATACACGAGATCTTTGTCCAGCGCCTCTATGTCTGGATCAGGGGTGACTAATTGATTTTCTGCGACCTCCCAACTCCCATTACTGCTTTGAAGCAAATCATCACTGCCATCAAGTTGAAACGAGAACCACTGGAAGGGTTCAAACTCGTAGTCCTTAGAGAAAGCTTCCGGTGGAACGTACGCTGGCGTCAAGGGCTGCTGCCCCCCTCTGTGCTGGGGGACCAAAAATCGGAAGCCTGTGCGGATGCTATCACGAATGCAAGATTGGCACCGAAGCATGCCATGAACATCGTCACGGGAATAAAGAGCGGAGCTGCTTATGCGGTGGTGCCCTTGACGTTTCCTATCAACCTCATCAACATTGACTTGAAGGGACATGGAAAGCATAGTGGCTTTGAGACTATGCACTGTGAAATTGAGGGGCGGTACCTCTGGTGGAGAGGACGCCCAAGGCATGAGGAGAAAATGCCTCAACCACCTCAGCGCCTCAGCATAGCTCATAGCTTGCAGGGGGAACATGAAGCTTTCGCCTTGCACTGCTGGAAGTAAGAACGATGGAAGCCACGATTCTGTGTGGTTTCGAACATGCATTGAAACAAGCCTGTCAAGGGCATGCAGCTGACCCAAGAATGCGTCCCGCGAGACAGAATACCTGACGCAAGGATGCCCCAGGGCTGCCCGGTGTGACATGTTTTGGTCGCATAACACGTACCACGAAGGACATGCAAGTCAAAAGATAATGAACTCCACTCCACGCGTTGAAGATCTGCAAATCGCAATGAACCCCAGGCAGCAACCAAAAAACCACCAAGCACAACCACTTCAAGAAGTGACGCCTGCTTCATCAAGATGCGCCTTTCCCACAGCTGAAGCACCCAAGTGGGTAGTGGGAAACTCTCACGGCGTTCACGAGGAATTTTTGACTTCAGAAAGGAACCAATCACTTTTTCGTACGCGCACGATAAGATTGTACATTCTGCGACTTTGCATAGCCAACGAAGTGCTTTGATTGTCATGCAACAGCTTGAACCCAGAGTAGGGTCTCCATGCTTCTCAAGGGACATGGTGACTAGTATGTCTGCCATCATAACACTATCAAGATTGCCAAAACAGAGGCCTAGCCCTTCAAGGTTCGCCACAAAGTGTGACCAAGCTGCCAGGTAACGGAGCACCGTGTTCGTGGCATACCCGGAAAGAATCCGCGAGGTGTGATGACTGGCAAATTCGGAGCACTGGATCTGCTTGAACAATCCACTACAATCACCCATAAAAACAAGAACACCCCAAAATAGTGACAAGGCCATCTGGGAGAAACCTGCAATCTGCTGGAACTTGGGATGGTGGGGATCGGCCGCCTTTGCGGGCTTTCGCTTCGAGACAGCTTTCAAGAGGAACGATGAAGTACTCTGCTGCTGTTGGTTGGACTCTACAGAGAACTGCCGAAACCTGGCAAAGTGCCTGGCTGATTCTTCTTCAGCATCAGAATCACAATCGCTCCTGCTGGACGTTGCAATTGGCAATAGGAACAGGCAGAGGTTGCCCGGCACGTGGAACTGGCTCAATGTGTCGTCCCTGGGAGTACAAAGGTTGGGCAAGACCTGCCGACGGCAGAGGGGGAGCGGTTCCTTTAGGTTTGTCAACTGGTAGCGCAAGCCCCCCCAGGGGTGGTGGTGCACACTTGCTCTTTGCCTTACTGAAATGCTTATCATCAGGATCCGTCGGGCGTTTCATCCTACAACCCTCTAGTCTTCAATCAAGCTTTGCCAAAAACCTGGAGGCCTTGGGAAGCTGGTCTGAACTGCACGCACAAGAAAGCTGAAGCAACTCTCAAGGTGCAAGAGCCGAACAGAAAGGCAGCCGATGCTACTGGTGCCAGTATGGCCGCGCAGATCCCGACGGACCCTCTGATCTTCCTGCTCGATGCGATGCACACGCTCTTCCAAGACTGCAATGTGTGTGTGAAGGGCTTCCAACTGGCTCTGCAACTCGTGAACTCGAAGCTGCAACTGATCTGAAGAGGCGTCAAGCCCAGCACACGATGCTTCCATGCACTCACTTTGGAGTGAGCCCGCTCACCCCTGGAGCATCGTTGAAAATGAAAACTAGGCTGAATGCAAAGGTTGCCAAAACACAAACCAAGCACTTTGGGAAAACATGGATGAGAAGACTTCCCATAAAGAAAGCATGCCGTGGACAAACTTGACTTTCTCGCTAGCAAGCACAACTCTAGAGCCAAAATGACGCACGAACATAGTTTATAAAACATACATGAACAAGTACATGATACGGATCCATCGGGACATCATGCGCATCACCCTCGGGTGCGATCTGACCATCAGACGCTTCAGCTTAAAGTGAGTGATGCATCATTGTATGCGAATGTCAGCATGCTACGAACCGTATGCGGGTCGGAAACTGGCCCAGCCAGACCTCCATTAGCAGCTAACGATCCCACATCTTCTGCGTACTCTTCAAGGAACCACTTGCCTGCTCTCTCACACAAGGTTGTACGCTTCCAAAGCACTTCAGTGAACGGGGCCAGTGTGGTGTCAACAAAATTATTGGTATGCGACTTCAGTACGTAGCACTCAGGGCCAACACGAGTCCATCCCCGCCTTGCATCCATTGATGTGAGGCCTTCTTGCAATGCGACCTCAACTGCACGGATGCTTGGACCTGATGCACACACGGTGATGCCAGCTGCAGTGGAAATAGGGCAGACGGACTGAGTGGAGCTTGATCCCTGCGGATCACACACTGCAACACCTCCTCCATTAGGCATTAAAGATCGTTTTCAAATTATCTCAAGTAAGTGACCTACTGGTGTCCTGAAACACGGGGACTGAGTGGAGCTTGATCCCTGGGGATCACATAGTGCAACACCTTCTCCACTAGGCATGCCTTGCATTGAGCCTCGAACACGATTCATGGCTCCACCGGTGGCACTGCAACTCAAGCCTTTCGCCTCGCTTTGACTCAGCAAGCGGATGGAACCTTGTGCACAAAACGACTGATGCCTGTACCCAATCGGAATGCTCGTACTTGCATCCGTCAAGCAAATGCCTTCACACTCAGGCTTCACGAACCATCCAGCTTTTGCAAGCTTACCTAGGCAAACCAAAGGACTGGTAACCCCTGATACCACGAACCTCTCGTAGAACTTCAGTGGTCCTATGGTGACTTCAGCAATCCTCGTGTCTTGCACGCGTAGGGGATGACCCTGTGCATCAGTGTACTGGACGGATCGGGCATGGGGATCAGACACTCCTGCATTGGCGAAGGACAAGGGAAGAGCAGAGACATCTGCTCCAGAGTCCAGTATGATGTCCACATTCCCTGACTGCAACACCTCAGGCACTTCTCGCACATGCTGATGCTGACACGTCAACATGCGAATTGCATAATCATCGGGCCAGTAGCCTGCTGCCACCTCATCTTGCATTCCGGACTCAAGATCACCCTCTGAAAGGTCATAAATCGTGAGATTCACTCGATCATCGTCATCCATGGTGTAGGCTTGTGTGCCGGAGAACGACACTCTCCGGACTGCGGCACTCTTGGCATTGGGATTCAAGGACGCTTGACTCAGGGCATTCAAGGACGATTGACTCGGGGCATTCACGTGGGAGCTCGAAGAAGATGCAGCTTCAGCTTGGGCGATTTGCTTTAGCTGGGGGCAATCACGCTTCCAGTGGCCGGATTGACCACAGTGCAGGCATGCGTCACGACCTTTGCCTTGGCCTGGTCCACCTGATGCACCCTGCTTACCCCCACTTTTCTTACCCTTCTTAACTCCCTTAGGCCCTCCTTGACCCTTTTGGTGGTCCTTGCCTCCTCGTTTGCCTGCACCCCATTGACCCCTGCCACCTTTGCTGCCTCTGCCCTTTTTGCCATTTTTACCATCTCCATACTTGCCGCGCTTACCATCTTACCACGTTTGCCACCCTTAGTCTCTTCATTAACCCGACTTATGTCCATTGGCGCTGGACCATTCGGATCAGCTGCATTGCTGGTTCCCAGCTCAAGGTGAACCCTGCTGTTCGACCAGGTGGTGGTCACGGACTCGTAATTCATCACGGCCTCACGTATGGTGTCATATGATGAAGATTCAGTCATTTGCAGCTGTATGTGTTGACGCAGGTGATTGGGCAACACACGCACAAGCACACCCATCTGCACGTCAGCACCTATTGCTGATCCAGATACCTTACGGTACTCATCCGACACCCTTTCTAGAGCATTGACCTGCTCTCGGAAGCTTTTGTCTTTGGTGAAGGCTGGATATGACATGTAGGCACTAAGGAGTGCCAGGCTGCGTGCACGTGTGCGTGGGGCGTATACTGACTGCAGCTGCCTCCACAGCTCGAAGCCGTTCTGCTCAGGTATGGATCTTAATATGACAAGCGGGCGACCCTTGAGCAACCCTGAAAGGATCGCGTAAAGGCGTCGGGCACGGGGCTTGGTTGACTCAACCATGTCAGCGATGGTCACCACCACATGCGGACTGGTCTCTATGGTGGCTAGCTCCTCACCGTATTCAGGTTCTGCATAGATAAGCCATGATTTGAAGGAATGAGCGAACTCTTGCCATTTTGCAACGTCACTCTCATGTGAATCATTTCCCCCAAAACCTTCAGGATAACGCAACACCTTTGATGCATCACTGTAGCCTGCAAACTGTCTGTCACTCGCGGCACGCTGTGTGGCGGATGACATTTGCTGCACCGCCTGTGCTGCACTATGCGCTGCCTGGCTGGCCGTTTGGATCAATGCAGCGACCTGACTCGGATCTGCGAGAACTACTTGGGGCTGTCCTTGCTGCACACCATCACTCGCTCCAATCTGGTGCATCTGAACATCTGGACCTGCTCCGGTCGGTGCGCCTGCTTCTGCTACGGTCTGACCTTGACCTGCAAGTTGGGCTTGTTGCTGGGCTTGCTGGGCTTGGTGGGCTGCCTGCTGCTGGGCAGCGTGCATTGCGGCTTGAGGATCCATTGTAGGAATGCTCGGACTTAGGGTGTGTAGGGGCTTCGGCACTTAGGGAACCACCTAGGGTACCCCAATGGGCCTACCTAACCCACAACCCACACGCTGGGCTGACTCCTGCGAGTCACACACGCTGGCGGTTGGCTAGTCTCAAGAGAGGATCCCAAGGGACGATTGAACCGGGTCTCACCAACAGGTTGGTAGGGTGAGTCGCGTAGGATCACAAACACAGCAGACAAGAAGGGCTCAAGTAGACTATCTTCAGCACTCAGGACTTTGCAACCGTATGCAATGATCTTCGCTGCTGACTCGATCTGCTCAAGCTGGTCAGTGACACTCTTCCTCTTCTGCAGCTGCCGTCTCTCAAAGCTCAACTGACTCAACGTGGGTGTCTTCTCTTTACCCACTTGAAGCTCGATGTACCACTCGATGACAGTAGCTCTCAGCTTACGAAGAGTTGCAGGTCTATCCCAGTACACAAGCTTACACGCACCTTGGTCAGGCAACGGCGTGGTGTAAAGAGCGCGGAGGGCTATGGCTCAAAGCTACAGCTACCCCAGGCCCAACCTACACTACAGCACGGAGGGCTATGGCTCAAAGCTACAGCTACCCCAGGCCCAATCTACACTACAGCAGATAGGTTCCAGTCTGCACTCAGAGCACCGTCACCAAGGAAACCAAAGGAGTCCCTGGTCAGTAGTGCTCCGCTACCATGAGAATTTTCCTGATACTTTCAGACGCCTGCCGGGATCACAACATACTGCACTGGAGATCACAACACAACATGACTTCTCTACCAAAACACATGTGGCCCAACGTGTAAAACGGGTGCACCAAAATGTGCCCATGTAGCTATGTACCAACTTTTGCAGAAAGACATCTCAGCCACTGAGGCCACCTGAAAACCCAAAAGGTCGTCCACGTATAGGGCTTGGAAATGCGCGATGTAAATCAGGAGGTGCAAAGTACGAACCAAGAATGCACCCAGTCGCGCAAACCAATACGCCGAAAAGGCCGCCCCAAAGGGGCAAACAGAATAGAAGAAGAATGTATTGCCCACACGCACTCCAAGCAGGCCTTGTTCAGATCGGCGAACTCGAATGGATTTGTGCGCGGCTTTTACATCCAGTGACCATGCAGCAATTTGCTGCCTCAGGCCCCGTAGTGGCCAAGCGGACAGAATGGACTGTAAGGTTGGCAATGCACTTCGTTCTGGGATTGAGCAGGCGGCGTTCGTACCACAAATGGAAGAATCTACCACCAGTCGAGGGTCCCTGCCTTCAGAATGGACGATGTTCATCTTGCCCACAGCGACCTGTGGAAAAAGCCGCTTCGCCTCATCAAGCGACTCAACTTTGTGCAACCAGCCCTTGTCAACCTCCTGTTGGACCAGTCGATCCAGAAGGACTGGATCGTCTTCGGCACTGCCAGTTCTCCTGGCAGACTTGCAATGACTCGTCCGTACCAGCTTTGCCTGACTGCGCCATGCATCCCGACGGTGGTATGTCGTTTTTGAAGCCAGTCGGGACACCATGCAACAAACAGCTAAATAATGTAGTGTCCACATCCTGCAGGAAATGACTTAATGAAGCGAGTGCATGCAGGCAGTATGGCTGGCCTTCTGGAATGCTCCAATCGACCTTTCCCATGTTCTCCGAGGAGAACCAAGCTGACAACTCGTCTCGCAGCTCCTGCGCCTCTTGCTCTGAAAACAATGGAGAATCTGACTTTGTCCGCAAATGTTCGCGCAAGCGCGAAAGAATAAGCTTCTTTCCACAAAATGACAATGTATGGCGCAACATTTTGAGAACATTGCTGCGACCCTTTGCCGGGCCGCTCCAATCTGGGTCCCGGTTGCTCTGCAGACCCCCACCATCTACCCAAGCGTGGGGAGCTGCTTCTAGCTCTTTCACCGGAATACATGCCCATGCACTCTCGACCGACGCACCGCCCCGAGACTGGGATTTCGAAAACCCCATGCTGCGAAGCAAATTGCAAAGCGAAGCCTGCAGCTTCGGAGGGTATGCCAGTGATTTAAACTGCAATGTACAACCACGTCGCATGCAAATTTCGCCAAAGCTGGCGAAAGCCTCGGAAGTTGTGACAAACAGCCATGCAGGTCCACAAGGCTCACCAAAGGCGCAAGGTGGTATCGACCCAATGCATCGTAGAAAAGATGATACAGAATGTTTGAAAAGGGGGGCATCCCAGCATGATGACCACGCTAAGACATCCACCACCACATGTGCACCTGAATAGAAACTGACATGGCACAAATGCAAAGCCCACTCAATAGCAGACTGAGGCCACATACAATGAACTCGCGCCATGACAAAAGGGAAAACACCCTCCGCTGCCGCCCGAAAGACCAGATCCTTAACACCACTTTGCCCCACCGGATCAAACTTGACGAATGGCAAGGCCTCCGCGTCCAGTGCCTGAGCAGCAGACAAAACCGACTCGGTGAGGGAGCCAATAAAACTTGAATCCCGAGTTCTGGCCATAAAAAAAGTTGAAGCTTTTAAGCTTTTTTTTTCAAAGGTTGCTACTGGGCTTAATACAGCTGTCAGACTAGCAAGATAAAAACACATGTTGCACATGCAGAGTTACTTGAAGCTGCAAAGAACCCTTTTTGCAAAGCAGCGGCTGGCAATTGTAAGCTTGCACGAAATAAGGAGTAACAGGTCTGACACAACACAGTGACATTGACGGTGAAACTTGGTCTGACTTAGGAACTTGCCTGGCAAAGCCTTGACGGGAATGTTGCCTAGCAGAATCTTGTCGTACTGTTAGGAGCAGACAATCATCCGCGCTGCACTCACTCATCAGTGGCCTTAGAAACTGCAGCAAACTCAGGCAATGATGTGACGTTCAAAAAACCAGGACAAGGGGGCCTTCCATGCCAGAAGATGCTGGGTACCGACTGAAGAAGTGTTCACTCGTCCAGTCTGACAGGCCACCTGCAGAAACCCAGCACGCGCATCAGCGCTTAGCCGTGCTGTCTGATGCCGGACCAAGGCGTGTTGGCCAAAATCTCGCAGGCCCTTCCCAGCAAAATCAGCCCCACACCCGGCCAACGGTGTAAGAACCGGCACTTTATACCTGGTCCGTGCTCGGTCCTTTGGTAGGGCGTCTGACTCAGATGCAAGAAGCAGTTCATCAATTGAAATTTGACTGAAAGGATAATTGAATTTTCATTGTCGGACACACGCAAACTGCAAATAGGCGGGAGTAACACATGTGTGAAGCAGCAGTCGAAGTAATGGCCTTCCACGCCAGAGGATACTGGGGATCGTCAACTGGATAGATGTTCGTCCAGTCTGACAGGCCACCTGTGGAAACCCAGCACGCGCATCAGCGCTTAGCCGTGCTGTCAAACGCCGGACCAGGGCGTGTTGGCCAATGTTTCCCCAGACCCTTCCCAGCACCCTCAGCCCCACACCCGGCCAACGATGTGAGAACCGGCACTTATACTTGGTCTGTGCTCGGTCCTTTGCGTCTGACTCAGAACCCAGCGGGCGAGAAATCTGACACTGTGCCACAATCACGTCCGTTTACTTGTATTTAACCAAAGCTGGAAAATCAAGCTGTCAGATCACTGACACTCGCAAAATTTCAAAGAGACGGCAGTAACAGTAGTAACACGTGTCAAGCGGCCTTCCATGCCAGAGGATGCTGGGTACCGACTGAAGAAGTGTTCACTCGTTCAAGTCTGACAGGCCACCTGCGGAAACCCAGCACGCGCATCAGCGCTTAGCCGTGCTGTCTGACGCCGGACCAAGGCGTGTTGGCCAAAATCTCGCAGGCCCTTCCCAGCACACTCAGCCCCACACCCGGCCAACGATGTGATAACCGGCACTTTATACCTGGTCCGTGCTCGGTCCTTTGGTAGGGCGTCTGACTGAGACCAAAAGCGACTGGCAAGCCTTCTCGTCCAAAGATTTAAAATTTGAGTCATTATTAATCATCTGACAGCATTCGCACACAACAGGCAAAACCTTGAATTTGCAGTCTCGGAAAAGCTACGACGACTTGTCAGAGCTAACAGACACACAGCCAGCAACCCCCAGCCCAAAAGCAGTAAGTCTGTAGGCCTTCCATGCCAGACGGTGCCGGGTACCGACACAAAGAATGTTGCACTCATTTCTGTCTGACAAGCCCACTGCAGAAACCCAGCATGCGCATCAGCGCTTAGCCATGCTGTCAAACGCCGGACCAGGGCGTGTTGGCCAAAATTTCCGCAGACCTTTCCCAGCACACGCAGCCCCACACCCGGCCAACGATGTGAGAACCGGCGACTTATACTTGGTCCGTGCTCGGTCCTTTGGTAGGGCGTCTGACTCAGAAGCAAGCACCCGAGGAGTCTCACACTGTAGCAAGAAGCAAGTCCGTTCACTTTTCACCAGTCAGACGCCTGAGATTGTGTCTCACACGCACAATGACAAAGCTGTAACAGGTGTCAAGCAGCAAATCAATGTCCAAGACTTACGACAGCCTTCCATGCCAGAGGAGGCTGGGTACCGACTGAAGAAGTGTTCACTCGTCCAGTCTGACAGGCCACCTGCAGAAACCCTTACCGCTTGTTCCAAATTGGGTTTGAACCCAAAAGCCAAAAGCCTAACATGGAGACTCGCAAGACACAAAGCAGGCGCTGCACGCCACTCACATTTTTTCATCAGTGGGCGAATCATTAATCACATCCTGTCACGTGCCGGTGCACACAACGCGGTGCACATACATTGCACATGCGTCTCACCATACCCTAGCGAACCTCAAGCCCCCTTTGAGGGCGAGGCAACTGTACATGCAACACTAATGGAAGTGCCGATGGCACACAGGGAGTTGCAGCCGCTTCAGCGGGCCCTGTTTGTCATGCCCTGGGTGGGCCGGGCGGGTCAAAATTTTTCACTGAGCTGTGGAGCCAGCGCTGCACCCACAGAGCTCCAGCAAACGCATTTGCAAATTGTCGTTCGCAACACCAGGCATGTCAAGCATCAGAATCTTTTGGGTTACAAAACCAAGAACAAACGGCACACCGTTTTTCTTAGAGACATTTGGAAGCAATCGATAAAACACCATTCGCTCGCGAACAGTAAGCTTACCGCTTGTTCCAAATTGGGTTTGAACCCAAAAGCCAAAAGCCTAACATGGAGACTCGCAAGACACAAAGCAGGCGCTGCATGCCACTCACATTTTTTCATCAGTGGGCGAATCATTAATCACATCCTGTCACGTGCCGGTGCACACAACGCGGTGCACATACATTGCACATGCGTCTCACCATACCCTAGCGAACCTCAAGCCCCCTTATTAGCCGACAGTCCAAGGCAGATGGCATCCAGGTGCTCCGACACGTCGGAACACGGGACACTGATGCCACCCCACAGCAAGTGCTGGGACACCAGCCTTGACGGGTGATCTGCGCAGTTCGACGGGGAAGGGACGCGCGAGAACCAAGGGATGAACTCGCACCCAACTTCCAAGCCCACAAACATTTTAAGCAGATTTTTCACTATTGGGGACCTGCCCCGACAGGAAATTAAAATATCCCTGACTGCATTGTTGTCGACGAAAGCCACAACAGGTGAGCGCGCAACCCTTTTGCCCCAAAGGCGGAACGCAAGCAGCACCGCAACAAACTCCGCCTCCATTATAATTGTGTCCTTGTTAAGCTCACCTAGGAGCTTGCGGGCATCACTGCCAAGGGCGTGAGAGAAGCCAGCAACCAACACACCCTTGTCATCAAACAGGAGACCGCCCACGCCACAAGGCAGTACGGGGTCGTCCTTCGAGTAGGATGCATCAGTGAAGACATACCAGGTTTGCTGCTTGCTAACCTGGACTAGCCGAGGACGGCCGCTTTCCAACATGTCGACTAGAGAGCTGAAAGTGTCGATGCACTCAGCCGGCAGATCGGGAGGGGCACAACCGTGGGCATACTCCGAGAGCTGTTGCAAGCAAAATTTGCTCTGGCGTCCAAACAGCTGTCCACTTGCAAACTGAAGTTGGCCTCTCAGCTTGAGAGCTTGAGGCACACTCATACGCCGGTCCTTCTGGGCCTGCTTCATTGTCTCAACGAGGAGCTGAACTCTCTTTTCCGTATTGCAAATAGTCACACGACCCAAGTGGGCACTCGATAGCACTATGTCAACTCCTAATGCACAAAAGGCTTCAGCAAACGGTACATCCTTCTTTCCACCCTGGGCCAGGTCCCATCCCAACAGGGTGAAGAGCAAGGTGATTGTTTGGTGCACATTGGCCACCTGTGTGCCTTTAGCAACCGACACGAAGTCATCAAAGTAGTGGGACCAGCAAAGGGCGAAAAAGAACGCGCCAAGATGCCATATCGAGTTAACGGTTCTCAGAAAAGTCGACACCGACTTGACTGCCCCGAAAGGGAGGGCATGTAGCTGGAACACTACTACCCTCTTCAGGTCAGGATCCCACAGTCCAATGTACAAGGCCCAGGCCCCTGTAGGGTCCAGAGCCACATAGAACCTTCCCTTGAGACTACAACCTGGCTGCACTCGCATC